CTTCACTCTGTATTGACCTAAGGTATCTATAAAGAAGCTGGAATGATTTGCAGCTTATGAAATTCCCAAAATTTTCTTAAACTTGCGGCAAAAATCCAAATTACTTTTCCGGATTCTTCCTGAAACGCTGTGTTTGGGCTACTTTTCCAATTACACACGGCTTGTTGGTGCTACTTTTTACACAGCTTTAGCAGAATTTTGTGAGGAAACTCAAACTTTTAAATACAAAGACTGTCACGATTTAAATGTATTTGCAGTTAAGCTTAACCTTTCTTGACAAATTGAATTGAAAAAAAAATGAATTTACCGAGTCAGTGGTGCCTGAATAACTCCTTTGACTCAATTAAAAGAAGAACAGTTGAAAAAGTGAAGGACAACACCTTTATTTACTTGACCTGACTGTCATCAACATAACAAAATGAGAATAAATTGACTCGTTACAAAAGAATCAGATACGAGTGGGATAAAGAGAGAGGAGGAGGTTTGAAGAAGATGATTCTCCTACAGTGAAGGAATTAAGGCTGAAATGAGGCTAATAGTGCGGGGAAAGGACAGGTGGGAGGAAGGAGGGAAAGAAAGAGGAGACAGCGCTTAGTTCTCCTGCTGTCTGCAGGGCAAAATAGAGCCGACTGTGATTTCAGGCGACAATAGACCACCGCTGAGCGCTGCCTGTATTAGGAAGACTGCAGATATGGAGAAATCTCGTCTCTTTATATCCCTCCCTTTACTCAAACATATTGTGACCACATAATCACCCCACACACACACACCGTCTCCCTCTTACACCGCAGGTATCACCTCTTAGTGCCTCCTCCGCCTGCCGTTTTACAGTCCTATAATTAGACTCAGGTTCAGACGTTCAAACATGTTGTCTCTAAATGCGCTTTCACCACATAACGGCGGAGTATTCCTGCCTGCTGCGTGTGATGGATGGCTCCTCTTAATGTCCCTCCTGGGGAGTGTACACATTTGCATCCATACATAAACCCAGCCGCGCTCCTTTCACACTGATGTGAGGGGTAGTAAAATGTTAGGGTTACAGTTCATTAGGAAGGAGCTTTTTCCCAGCGTGCACTTAGTGTCACGTTTACGAGGCTGCTGGAGCTGGTGTTAAACTGCTTAATGAACGTGGTGTGACGGTCATTTGTACCGCACACACTGTAAACGCTACTGTGTCATAATGCATTAACTGCTGACCTCGACAGATGTTTGGAAACAGGGAATACAAACCCAAAGGAAACATACACAGTGTAATGATCTTTTCTGCTCCAGTTAAACCAGGTAATTATGTCGCAGTCACTCCAACTCTTGAATATGCCGATTCACAGGAAATATTCCTATTATTCAGAATATTGATAAACCAGAAAAAAAAATCAGCACCAACTCAGTGCTTAATGGTGGGGTATTCAGGATCTGAGGAAGTTCCAGTTTTTGGGAGAAATCTTGAATGTAAACTCTACCCCTCCCAATCTGTTTTCCCCTCAGCTCCTCCTCTCCCCTCCCTCTCTGCTCCAGCAAGCCCTGCCCACAAACAGACGCTCCTGCTCGCTCGTATCGTTCCAGTTAAATTCAGATATAATGCAGATAAATACTTCAGATCATTACAAATGGGGCCCAGTCAAGGTGAAAGTCAAAAGCATTGGTGCTACTGTAGATGCCAACAGACTACCAGACTTCTACAACTAGGATAAAGTGACATAGTCCAGGACCCGAGGTCAACAGTTTAGCGGCGCTACAACACGCTACAGCAGGTCCCGTTTGACAAGAAACACTTCTGTTACACTTGGCTTACTTTGTTAAAACGGTTTACCTGTCCAGCAGAAAGGTTACAGGGTCCGTAAGATCCCGAAGTGTCCCCCATCGTTTATGCCGGTGTTGACCCAGCTTTTTAGCTCTTGTCCGGTCTACCACCTTGTTTAGTGCCCAAGGCGGCAGTAGCTCAGGAAGTAGAGCGGTCATCCGATAACTAGAAGGTTGGCGGTTCGATTCCCCTCCAATCCCAAGTCTGTCCATTGTGTCCTTGGGTAAGACACTTAACCCACCTTGCTCCCAGTGTGTGTCCTCCACTGGTGTATGATTGTGTTATGTGATGGTGGTCAGAGAGGCCGTTCGTTTTCTTGCTTGTGTCGGCAGTCGTGGCCAAAGGAGGATTCAGACAATTTTCCGTTCTTTCTGGTTGGTTTCTACTGTCCGATATTGTAGCACGCTAACTTTGTCTGGGCTCGTGTACATTATTGGAGGACGTGGAGCGTGCCTCACCACACCGAGGAGCAGCGTCTGCCTCACAACCAATCAGGTCGGGGAGGCGGAGGACGGCTTTGTTTACATTCAGAAAGAGCGGGCCGCTTAAAAAATTGAAAATGTTGACTACACAGACAACAAAACACAGTGATATCGTTATATTCCCAAATTTAATTTAAAAAAAAGATGCTTCTTTAACGGAATCCTGTCTACCCCACCTTTAAACCGGGTAATTATGTCGCAGTCACTCCAACTCTCAAATATGCCGATTCACAGGAAATACTCTTATTGTTCAGAATATTACCCAAACCAGAAAATAAATCTGCACCAAGTCAGTCCTCAATGTTTAAAATACTCTGTAAAGTTTTGAACTTCCTGTTTTGTTTGTAGTAAACGTCAAGCTGATATATGTTACAGCCCTCCTCCTCTACTCTCTAGATTATCCCGAATGACAGTAAAATGCATCACGGAAACACACATCGACCTTGGTCAGCAGCACTTTGCACCGCATGCGCTTGCTCCTGTAAAGAGGACATATTTCCCATCAGCCATCAGTGTCAGGAGGGCCGGTTAAAGGAAGTAAGTTAGAGTGAAGAATGATCAGATGGACAGCGGTACGTTCGCAGCACTCTGAGAAATGGCTTCACACACACACACACTTGTTTGATGTATGAAATACCACACACATGGTCATACGTTAGCAGGCGTGGACTGTTTGTCTGTGATTTATGGCCGACAGCTCTGGGTCAAATTGATTAACTGCTGTGTGCAGTGAGTTCAGGTTCACTACGCTGAGGACACACTCTGGTGCACATCTAACCTGAACCTGCAGCACTCGCTTCTTTATGTATCATTTAGATGGATGATGATGTTGATCCAATCCGCCATTTGTAAAGGTTTACCACTAAATGATCAAAGAAGGAAAAAGAGACGGATAGACTTGCAGTTGTGGACTCACAATTCAGCCGTCCGAGGATGCAGAAAAGAAAGAATCTGATTTAAACTTTAAAGAGGACAAACTAAAACAACAAAGCACTCATTGTGTAAAAAAAACATTCAGAGTCCAGTCAGCCTTAAACATTAGTATTACACCTTTGACCTGTGTGCACCGGACCACACATTGGCTTCACATTGGTGCTCCAGTGAGCAGTTTTAAATATCATTGTAGTACTGAAAGATAAAATACACAAAAATACTCGTAAAACCACTTCTGCATTTTACACCAACATTGTTTCGCCCCTGCTCTTCCTCTGTTACCTCCTCTGAAAGTTGTTGCTCAGCAACAGAACAATTTTGGCTAACTGTTCGCCCCTCTTCACAGAAAACAAGGCCAAACAGAGGAGTAACAGTCCCGTCTTTAACCAGCAGTTTTTGTTGGATATAGACAAGTATGATCATATTAATCCAATAATACTAATCCAGTTATCTGATGTCACAGGACTGTAATCCTGATTTCTTTCTGTTGTTGTTAAACATTTCGCCAATCCGTCTCTGAAGAGTCGAACAGAGGCAGGAAAGGTAACCTTGTCTGGGCAGGGCCTGCTGTGGTATGTTTGGTGTTCTTGCTGTTTTGCAGGTCCTGGTGGATGGAGTCATTTAGGAGTATTTGAGACCGGTCTTGGTCTGCAGTCTTTAGGCTCCCTATGGGTTGGGTTGATTTGGCTTTGGCTGGTTTAGTTTAGGTGGTGTAGATAGGTGGCACAGTGGTGTAGTGGTTAGCACTGTCGCCTCACAACCAAAAGATCCTGGGTTCGAATCTTGATCAGGGCTTTCTTCTTTAACCCTCCTGTTGTCCTCAAGTTAAGACCTACATCCCATGTCTCAAGGGTCACACTGTCCCAGTCCGCACTGACTGGGGTCTTTTTGACCCAGTGAAAGGTCCTGTAGTCCCCACACAGTAAAAAAAAATAAAAATAAAAATAAATTAAAAAATAAACCTGCATCCCACGTCTCAGGGGTCACACTGACTGGGGTACTGACTGGGGTCTTTTTGACCCAGTGATGACTGGGGTCTTTTTGACCCGGTGAAAAGTCCTGTAGTCCTCACACAGTAAAAAAAAAAAACCTGCATCCCACGTCTTAGGGGTCACACTGTCCCCAATGTGGAAATATATACTCACACACATATAGTAATAATAATAATGATAATAATGATAATAATAATAATAATAATAATAATAATAATAATAATAATAAAATTAACAAATTAATAATAATAATAATAATAATAATAATAATAATAATAATAATAATAATGAGCAGACGGAGGGGAGGCGAGAGATGACCTGATATCTCTAGCTGATACCACACTGTTGAGCAATGATGTTTTGATCAGAAGGACAAAGTTGAATTTTAATGATGAATGACGAGATGTCCTTTGAGGATTGGTACAGCTACTATTACGACTTTTAGCCATAAAACAATGTTGTGTTGTAATCTATGGTGTGATGCGCGCAAATAAAGTCATCATCTGAAGCAAAATTGCCAGCTTTCGCATCTTTATTGAGCAAGCAAGAATATGTAAGCAAGCATAAGCTACAGCACGAATTCACATTTTAATAATAATGATAATAATAATAATAATAATAATAATAATAATAATAAAAATAATAATAATGCATTTTTAGGCACATTTCAGCGGCAGTTCTTCCTAAATCTTTCTATAGAAGCATGCTCATACAAACACTTGAAGGAAAAAAAAACAAGTTCGCAAACTCTTTACACCCCCCCCCCCCCACACACACACACACACACACGTCTTACATCGGACGCTCCGGTTCGCTTGCAGTGAGCAAGAATCTACAGTTAATCACAAAGTGTACTCCATCGACCTCACAGATATGTGACAGCAGACTTGTGAGTCCGGAGAAATGTAGACCCGATCCAAACGTGAAGCCCCATTTATCAAATGTTACTTTCAGACTCTTCCCCTTGGCGTCTATAATCTCAAACAGGTATCCCGGACTGTCATCATCTACGCAGCAAATTAACGCCGCTGGCGTAACAGAGGGTCCTTCCTTGTTTTGTAGATACTGTATTATGCGATGGGGTCGGGAAACGTCACACCATCCGCTTTTCACCAATTCTAAAACGCTCCACATATCATCCACTACCCGTGTAAGAGAAAAGCTCTGGGGATCGGAAGGTATCGTTGTGGGTCGGGGGAGCAAGTGTGTGTAGGTTTCACGGGCCAGCTTTCTCAACATGTCGATCGGACACGAAAAATCACCTTCCGCCAAGTCGGCGCACACGTAGCGTCTTCGACGGATAAGCAAAGGAAGTGACAGCAGGCCGCTTTCGGTCTTCACTGTGAAAGAACAAACTCCCCCGGGCGTGTCACCGAAGCACGCCGAGACGACGATATCCCCGACGCGACGTCTCTCGGATGAATCCATGAAGGTCCTGACGGACTCTTCCGACACCGAGCCCCACCAGCGCTCACCCAGCCAACCGACAAACGATTTCCACGATTCCTCCAATTCGGTCCAGCGGCAGGTAGCTGCGTAGCGGTCATTCGAGCCAAACTCCTCTCGAACTTCTTCCTCGCAATCCCACAGCGCGATACAGATCTCATCGTTTAAAAGTTCGGACCGACCCATAAAGCCGTCACGTGGCAAATCAGCTTCACCGGTATCTTCCGCGTCACCTGGAGTTCCGAGGCTATCGCCGTAGGGATAACACTCCTCGTCTTCAACAACGTCACCTTCTACGTGTCTTTCCGATAGCAGGCCGCGACATTCGTACTCTTCGTCGGGAGCGTTCCTCCAGGCCTCATCTTCACCGAAGCGTCCTTCGACTTCTAGCTCCGCAGCGTCACTGCGGTAATCGTCGTACTGACGGCGGCTCCGAGGACTGTCAGAATCTCGGTAAAAGTCGGCATCGCGGTCACTCGCGCCCCTCGAGTCCCTCGGAGTTCGACGCTCATCAGAGCGGTCGAAAAGTTCACGCTGATCCGCGAAGCTGTTACTAAATCGGCTTCGGCGGTATCCTCCACGTCACCCGGAGTTACAAGGCTATCGCTGTAGGGACGGTGCTCCATATTTTCAACGATATAATTTTCCACACGTCTCCTCGATAGCCATCCGTAGCGGTCACGCTCTTCATCAGGATTATTCTCCCAGGCCTCATCTTCACCGAAGCGTCCTCCGACGTCTAGCTCGGCGGCGTCACTGCGGTAATCGTCGTACTCGTAGCGGCTCCGAGGACTGTCAGCATCTCGGTAAAAATCCCTCGCAGCTCGACGCTCGTCAGAGCAGCGGGACCCCTCCTCGCGCTCATCGCTCTCCTCTTCGCAGTAGTCGTCGTCATTCACAGACACCGTGTTATCCGGACGAATCGATGTCGGTGACGGCGAAGCCATGTCGGACCGAGATGTAGAATCGGCGTAGGCAGAATTCGAGGTCGGACAATCGGATGTGTCCGACGCAACTATGGCTGCTTCGCAGTAGCCGCGACAAGACCGCTTCGGAAGACTTGTGACACAAACGACGGTCTCGTAATGGCTGCCGCTATTCGCTAAATAAATCCCCTGTTTAGAGACCCGAACGCTGTCGCAACTGTACCGAAGCCAACGGTCGGTGTAATACGTGAATAGGTCGACGCCCAAATAATCCGCCGTCGCTTGAATCTCAACCTCTGTCGCCCAACTTCCTAGAGAGCCGATTTCAGATGCGTCGACGTAGTCCGACACCGAAAGGTAACCCCTTCTCAGAATGTTGGCGTACGCAGCTTCATTGCTTTGCAAGTGATTCACCACGGCTTCTCTTATTCTTCCGTGATGGCGTTCGGTACCGCTCACGGCTACACTGACTGCCCTAAAGAAGCAATTCCCGTCGCTTTTAATCTTCACGTTCTTACAAGGAGCTCCTAATTCACAGACATCCGTGAATTTGCTATACCGCTGTCTACAGTCTACCTTGAGCTTTCTGCACAGCTGTAATGCCACTGCCGCTCTAACGGGGTTAAAGTGTAGCTTTTTACCCACGTCGCCACCAACAACCTCAATGTCCGGGTCCTCGCTGTTCATCATGCTCTCGTGTCTTTTCGGCAGTTCCCGTGACATTTTCATCTTTGGAAAGTCGTAAGTATTTCCTCTTCTGATGCGGTCCTGCCAGGCTGCCTCTCTGCCTCTAAAACTAGTCACCCCGGTTGCGGACAGTTCAACCGACCGCATCCCACGTCTCGAGGGGTCACACATGGTGTGTGCGTGCGTGTGTGCGTGTGTGTGTGTGTGTGCGTGTGTGTGCGTGTGTGTGCGTGTGTGTGTGTGCGTGTGTCGGCGATCAACCCGTCTCCAAATTCTCAGCGGCACACTCAGCGCAGTACGGGAGCGAACAACTTTTGCAGATATATTTCTTACACCCGCTGCACACGGTAGAAGTTTTGTTGTCCTTCGCCCGCGGGCAAAACTGACACCTCTTCCTCTTCCTCGCCCCGGTCGGGCCGTCCGCTCCCGACGCCGCTCCGGTGGCGCCCTCGCCCTCACCGCGAGTTCTAGATCTAGACGCGGCGCTACGAACGACTCGGACAACTGCCGCTGACGCTGCCGTGCGAGGGAGACGCTCCCTTCTTTCTATCAACGGAGTCACCAGCGCCTTTCCCAGCCGCTCTAGGAACACCCTTCTCTTGTTCCGCTTCTGAGGCATCCATTCGGGGTTTAGTTCTCTCCATATCACAAAGGCATTGTAGGAGGAAACGTCGAGGATGTTGTGGAACACGACCAGGGGCCAGCGAGCCGTCATCCTTCTGCAGCTGTAGGTTCCGATCACCTTGTCGAGGTTATCGACACCTCCTTTGCAGCGGTTGTAGTCCAGTATGATGACCGGCTTTCTGTCGCGGCGGTCGCTGACTCCGGCCTCCGTGTGCTTCGTGCTAACCAGCAGCACGTTTTTGTTTTTCTTGGGCACGTAAGAGACCGCGGCGGTGGTCGACATGAAGGCGAATTTCGACGAGAACACCGCTCTTCCCTTCGGCGAGAGAAGGGCCGGGGGGAGCTCCGGCTTGTTTTTTCGAAAAGTGTCCACCATGGTCATGTTCCTTTTCAGCAGCTGCTGCCCGAGTTCGTAAGAGGTGAAGAAATTGTCGCAGGTGACGTTGCGATCCCTCAGTCCCTCGGTGACATCGAGCACGACCCGCATGCCCAGGTTCTTTTCCGGGCCGCGTCCGCGGCCGCGGCCTTCCCCGTGTACACTTGCATCTTCCAAGCGTAACTGGATTTAGAGTCGCACGCCACCCACGTCTTGATCCCGTATTTCGCTGGCTTGCTGGGAATATACTGCCGAAAGGGACAACGCCCTCTAAACGGAACCAGCTGTTCGTCCACCGTTATCTCCGGCCCGGGGTTGTAGAGGGACGGCAGCCGCTCGGACCACGCGTCCCAGACCTCTCTTACGGCCGCCAGTTTGTCGGTCGCGCGTCTGGCGGGTCTCGACTCGCGGTCGTCGAATCTCAGCAGTCTAGAGTAGGCGTGAAACACTTTCAGCGGCATCGTGGCGCGGAAGATGGACCGTCCGCTCTCAGCGTCCCACAAGCTGGCGGTCGCCATGCCTCGGGACCTGTAGACGCCGGCTAAAAGCATCAGCCCCATGTAGGCGCGAAGGTCGACGGCATCCATGCGTTTCCAGCCGTCTCCGATTTTCCGTCTTCCCTCCAAATTAGTCATCTCCAAGATGATGCGTTCTATCGACGGGGTGACGAACATGAAAAAAGCGGAGGCGATGTCGCGGGCGTGGACGAGAGAATATTCAGTCGGTCCGGGTGGGCCGGTCGACGGCGGTAACGGCGACGACGGCATGTGCGGGGACGGCGGCGGCGTAGCCTCACCGCTCCTGTCTTTTCTACCCCGCTCTTGTTTATCGTACGCTACGGAGGACCATATGATTTTGTCGTGTTTTGAGAGAAAAAACAAATCCGTATCTTCTTTAGCTTGCTCCTCTCGCTCGCCTGCTATTACCCTTTCTCCTTCTTCTTCTTCTTCTTCTTCTTCTTCTCCCCCCTCTCTTTCCATTTGCTCCTCTCTTTCTTCTGTTACCCCTTCTTCTCCTTCATCTTCTTCCTCATTTTCTTCTTCTTCTTCATCATCTTCTTCTCCTTCTTCTTCTTCTTCTCCCCACTCTCTTTCCATTTGCTCCTCTCTGTCTTCTGTTACCCATTCTTCTCCTTCATCTTCTTCTTCTCCTTCTTCTTCTTCTTCTTCTTCTTCTTTATGCTCTCCGTCCTCTTCTACCTCTCTTTCCATTTGCTCCTCTCTGTCTTCTGTTACCCATTCTTCTCCTTCATCTTCTTCTTCTCCTCCTTCTTCTTCTTCTTTATGCTCTCCGTCCTCTTCTACCTCTCTTTCCGTTTGCTCCTCTCTGTCTTCTGATATTATCATTTCATCTTCTTTTCCTTCCTCTTCCCTGTTCGGTCGGTTACTTGCCTCATAATCCTCCTCCTCAGACACACCCTCTGCTTCTTCATCGGGATTGGCATCATCAGAGAATGCGTTTGACAACATCTGTCGCATGACCTGCAAAGCGGTAAACTCTCGACTCATGGCTGCAGCGCGGTATTGTCTTATTTTTTCATTGTTATCGTAGTTGTTGTTTTAGTAGTTATTGTTGTAACGCGATGTGATGTAATGTAATAGGACAAGGATCGGTAGTAGTACAGGTTTTATGCAGGTGTAGTACGGTTTTACGGAGATGTGACTAAACTTGCTATAAACTTGATCTATTCAGACACACGCTGCACTGTTTTTCTTGGGCGCGTACACACGCTGCACTGTTCCGCGACTATACAACTGCACTTTGGTGTTTTACAACTGACAGAGTGATAGAGACTTTTTTGACTTCATGTGGGATGCCGACTCGTGCCTCTGGAGCCCAGGCGTTGTCCTCTTTCCTAAACCTCACTGAGCCTTGGACAGGCGTGCTTTTAAAAAAAAAAAAAGTATTTGTAAAGCACTTTTTATGTACAAACACTTTCTTTCTTTTGGTGTTCAGACGTCTTCGCAATATTTTCTGCTCTTAGAATTGAAAAATAAAATCTGGAGAAACTTCGTGTGTCTTTCTCTCTTCTTCCCTCACAGAATGGCCGGTCATGCAGAGAGCGCTGTAAAACCAAAAAGAGAAACTCGCACAGGCAGTGCGGAACACACACACACACACACACACACACACACACACACACACACACACACACTCACACACACACACTCACACACACACACACTCACACACAGAGTCAGCACAGTCAGTGATATCGAGTCCACATTTTGTGATGTCTTTGTGTCAGAGGACTAAATATGAGGAGCGGGGACACGTCATCTCAGAACCACGAATTCGTTCTTCTCTAACTCCGAACCAGCCGCTCACCTTCCTGACTGAACTGTGCAAAGTAAAATGCAACCGGTTCAGTGGAAGAGAAGAACAGACACGTTGGCTTAGAGACGACATGACAACTCCGACGCTCTCCAACCTCTGCCGATTATACAATTCAAACTTTTGTGTTTTACAACTGACCGAGTGATACAGTGGTTTCACTCCCTACGGTGGGGTGCCGACTCGTGCCTCTGGAGCCCAGGCGTTGTCCTCTTCGCTCAGCCTCACCATTCTGGGACACTGCAGTGAGGAAAGAAAAAAAAAAACAACACTGTATGATGAAGCAAGGTGTAGTTTTTTAAAAATAAATAAATAAATAAAATAATGTTTAAATATATATATATATATATATATACATATATAATTTTTTTTTCATTTGAAAACACTTTTTATGTACAAACACTTTCTTTCTGTTGGCGTTGAGACATCTTTACAGTATTTTCTGCTCTTAGAAATGAAAATAAAATTAAAAAAAAATCTTTGAAACCTTTGTCTCTTTCTTTCTTTCTTTCCCTCTCTCTCTCCGTCCGTTCCTCACAGGATGCGCGCCACACGCTCAGCCGCAGTCGCGCGCCTTTTCTCCCGCGTCGAGAACGTCTTCGCGGCGGTAGCTGCGGAGGCCGGCCGGAACGGGAACAGGAGAGCGTCGGGGTTTTCTTGTCGATTCGCAGACGAATCCTCCGTCCCGCGTTTTTCCGTTTTTCAAACTCACCTTCGGCGTTTTCCCCTCCTCGGGACGGTCTTGGACCGTAGCCGCGGAGGCCGCCCTCGGAGGCCGGACGCCCCCAGGGAAGGGGGAGAGCGCACTTTCCTGCTCCTCTCCATCGACTCGCGGCGGGTCAGAGGCCGAACACGAGGAGCGGGGACAAACAAACAAACAAAAAAAGAATACACAGGCAGTGTAGAAAACACACGCGCACAGGTCACACACATCTTACCTCTAAAGCCCAGGCGTCCTCCATCCGTCTCCATCCGCGCGCCACACGTTCGGCCGAAGTCGCGCGCCCTTTTCTCCCTCGTCGAGAACGTCTTCGCGGCGGTAGCCGGCCGGAACGGGAACAGGAGAGCGTCGGGGGTTTCTCAGCACGTCGACTCGCAGACGAATCCTCCGTCCCGCGTTTTTACCTTTTTCCAAACTCGCCTTCGGCGCTTTCCCCTCCTCGGGACGGTCTTGGACCGTAGCCGCGGAGGCGCACTTTCCTGCTCCTCTCCGTCGACGTGCGGCGCGTCAGAGGCCGAATCCTGGAGCGGGGGACGCGTCGTCTCAGAACCACGGGTCCGTCCTTTCCGTCCCCATGCCGTAGCCGGCTCAGCTGACGAGAAGAACGGACGCGTAGGCTGAGAGACGACGTGACCGTCCCCCGCGGGATGGCCGGTCATGCAGAGGGCGCTGGGCCGGACGCCCCCGGGGAAGGGGGGGGGTAGAGCGCACTTTCCTGCTCCTCTCCGTTGACGTGCGGCGCGTCAGAGGCCGAATCCTGGAGCGGGGGACGCGTCGTCTCAGAACCACGGGTCCGTCCTTTCCGTCCCCATGCCGTAGCCGGCTCAGCTGACGAGAAGAACGGACGCGTAGGCTGAGAGACGACGTGACCGTCCCCCGCGGGATGGCCGGTCGTGCAGAGGGCGCTGGGCCGGACCCCCCCGGGGAAGGGGGGGGGGGGTAGAGCGCACTTTCCTGCTCCTCTCCGTCGACGTGCGGCGCGTCAGAGTCCGAATCCTGGAGCGGGGGACGCGTCGTCTCAGAACCACGGGTCCGTCCTTTCCGTCCCCATGCCGTCGCCGGCTCAGCTGACGAGAAGAACGGACGCGTAGGCTGAGAGACGACGTGACCGTCCCCCGCGGGATGGCCGGTCGTGCAGAGGGCGCTGGGCCGGACGCCCCCGGGGAAGGGGGGGGGTAGAGCGCACTTTCCTGCTCCTCTCCGTCGACGTGCGGCGCGTCAGAGGCCAAATCCTGGAGCGGGGGACGCGTCGTCTCAGAACCACGGGTCCGTCCTTTCCGTCCCCATGCCGTCGCCGGCTCAGCTGACGAGAAGAACGGACGCGTAGGCTGAGAGACGACGTGACCGTCCCCCGCGGGATGGCCGGTCGTGCAGAGGGCGCTGTGAACAAAAAAACAAACAAACAAACAAACAAAAAAAGAATACACAGGCAGTGTAGAAAACACACGCGCACAGGTCACACACACACACGCACACATATTAATAATCGCGCAGAGGCGGGACGCTCTCCGGGAAGATGTAGCCGCAGAGGCAGGAAGCTCTCGGGGAAGAGCGCTTTTTCTTATTCCTCTCTGTCGACTCGCAGACGAATCCTCGACCCCTGCGTCTACGTCCGCGCGCCGTGCGTTTCATCGTCGTCCTCTCTCGGCCGCGGTCCGCTCCTTTTTCTCGAGATCGAGGTCTCGAGGTCGAGATCGTCTTCGGCTGTAGCCGCAGAGGCCAGCCAGTACAGGAGAGCGCTTTTTTTTCTCCTCTAAGTTGATTCACAGACGAATTTCCTCCTTCTTCGCTCTTCGCTGCGAAAAGAGTCTGTGCAACAGAAGAATACAGCGGAGGTTTTTAGTCAAACGTTTTCACGACAGGGTAAAGAAGGAAAACAAAAACAAAAAAAAATAAAAAAGAGAAAAGCGTATAACTATATATCTATCTATATAACGTTATAGATAGATAGATAGATAGATAGATAGATAGATAGATAGATAGATAGATAGATAGATAGACTACTTACTCTACTCTCTGCTCTACGATCCTTTTTGTAGATGCGTGTCAAGACTTCGACTTTATTTGTTTTTTTTCCTCTTTCTTCGCTCCTGCGGATCCAGTGCCCCCCCGTACTGCGAAAAGAGGAACACAGCAAAGGTTTTCAGTCAAACGTTTTCACGACAGCGTAGCAGAGGTGAGTTTTTAGATCACCATTTTGACAAGCAGAAAGAGCTGAGGGTGAGTTGACCTCGACCCTCCGCCGCGCTTTTTGTGCATCACGGGTGGAGGGCGTGTGTGTGCGCGTGTGGATTCAAAGACTCGTTTCTGTGTCATGTATTTGTTATGCTCTTACGGATAGACAACCAAAAACAGCTAAGTCCAATCGAAGCGAATCGTTCAGTCAGGAAGGTGAGCTAACGAATGATTGAATGCGACTCAGCGTAAGAGCATAGCAAATTTACAATTCACGAAACAGAGCGGGACCAAAACGACTGCACAACTCAGTGGTCGCGGAGAGAGACATCCGTTTCGTTCGGCCTGCAGAACAGAGACAGAGAGAGGAATGTGGCTTAGGGGATACGGAGCTATCACGGTGATATAAATATATTCATGTCTTTACATAGATAGATAGATAGATAGATAGATAGATAGATAGATAGATAGATAGATATAGAACACTTACTGTTCTCTGGTCTGTCCTCTACGGTCCCGGTTGTCGGTCTGCAACACTTTTGAGAAAAACTTTTCTGTTTTTCTGTCCTCCTTGGCAACAACGGCATGAACGGCCCTGTGAAATGCAGCGCGACTGTGAAGGAAAACAAGATCCTGTAAACGCATGTTGGGAGAGGGGGAGAGAGAGAGAGAGAGAGAGACAGAGACAGAGACAGAGACAGAGAGACAAACTATATTGTTTGACTGGATTTCTGAGTTGATCTAAAATCCGAACAGATTTTGTCGTTTTTGGCATTCACAATACCCTACACTACTACGCGTTCACATTGTTTTGTTGGAGCTATTACAGCCATTCCCTTGCTTTAAAAGCACACAGAGTAAGAAGATGAACACAAACAAATAGAATAGAATAGAATATTCCTTTATTGATCTCCCATGGGGAATTTTTTTTGTCACAGCAGCATCACAGACAAGACAAAAACTGCGAACATGCAGTTATAACAATAAGGGTATAAATGAGGTGCAAAAAAACAATAAGAAGGCAAAAACGCGAAGTCTGTGAGGAGCTGCTGTGAGGAGCTGCCACTCTCAGGGCGCACGAGTCACGAAAAACGCAAATATATTCATGTCTTTACATAGATAGATACATAGATAGATAGATAGATAGATAGATAGATAGATAGATAGTTATAGAATACTTACTGTTCTCTGGTCTGTCCTCTACGGTCCCGGTTGTCGGTCTGCAACACTTTTGAGAAAAACTTTTCTGTTTTCTGTCCTCCTAGGCAATAACGGAATGAAGCGGCCCTGTGAAACGCAGCGCGGCTGTGATACCGCGTGTTGAGAGAGGGGGGAGGGAGAGAGAGAGAGAGAGAGAGAGAGAAAGAGACAAACTATATTGTTTGACTGGATTTCTGAGTTGATCTAAAATCCGAACAGATTTTGTCGTTTTAGGCATTCACAATACCCTACACTACTACGCGTTCACATTGTTTTGTTGGAGCTATCACAGCCTTTCCCTTGCTTTAAAAGCACACAGAGTAAGAAGATGAACAAACACAAATAGAATAGAATAGAATATTCCTTTATTGATCCCCCATAGGGAAAATTTTTTTGTCACAGCAGCATCACAGACAAGACAAAACCTGCAAACATGCAGTTATAACAATAAGGGTATAAATGAGGTGCAAAAAAACAACAATAAGAAGGCAAAAACGCGAACTCTGTGAGGAGCTGCTGTGACTTGCTGCCACTCTCAGGGCGCACGAGTCACGAAAAACGCAAATATATTCATGTCTTTACATAGATAGATAGATAGATAGATAGATAGATAGATACATATAGAATACTTACTGTACTGTAGTCTCTCCTCTACGGTCCTTTTTGTCGGTGTTCAACACTTTTGAGAAAACTTTTCTGTTTTCCTGTTAGGCAACAATGGAATGTCGTGTTCGGCACATTATGTGTTGTAAACCCGTTTTTTTGTTTGTCTGTTTGTTTTTGTCTGTATAGAACCTCTGTTGCAGGTCTGCCCCGTCCTGGGTGAGGGGATCTCTCCTGTGTTGCTCACCCTGAGGTTTCTCCAATTTTTTTTTGTCTTATTTCTCCATTTTTCCTCAGTTGACGTGAGGGTCTAAGGGCAGATGATGTTGGCATTATAATGCTATGTGAAACTCTCTGAGACAAAAGCGTGTGTAAAAACAAAATCCCCTTGCCTTTTCACTGTACTGCCTTTATTTTGTGATAGGTTGTGCTCATTTATATGAATTAGGTAGTGCGGCTGTTGTTATCTGTATTTGCAAGCTCTCTGACACTCTCTAAGTTTCCCTGCCGTGATGAATACAGTTTTCACTCTATTCTACTCAACTCTTGAGATGGAACTTTTGTTGATACCGATATCCTTTCCTAAAAATTATTTTATTTATTTATTTTTTTTCCAGTCCTCCAAGTTTCCAAGTTTTCTTAGTCTCTATATGTAGTGTAGCCTTGAAAGTAAAACCTAGAGCTTTATGTTTTTTTTTTTTTACAGTCCTCACGCTGTAAAATACAGGGGGTCCTCAACGCCGCCACCACCACAGGATACTTGACTGGATGAGCGAGAATCGGGTCCAGGGGTTTATGCTGTTTGAGATGCGCGCTGGAACGTCAGGAGTCATGAGTTCAAATGAGTAAAAATAAATAAATAAATAAATAAATAAATGAAAAAAAAAAAAAGGCTATGTACACCACGGTGGGGTATATTTGACCCTGCCGAGGGCAGGGGCGCGAGTTTACGATTCTCAAATCCATACTTGACTGGGGTCTATTCGACCCAGGCGGGGTAAAACAATCAGGAGTCATGGGTTATCTTAGTCCACGCTGACTGGAGGCTAAATTCACCCCAATAGGGCGAGGGTATACTGACAGGGTCTTTTTGACCCTGAAGGGCAGCACAAGGGTTAAGGGGGGACATGAACTGCTTGGCGGAGGTCTGCGCTCTCCGAGTGCTTTTCTAGTTCAGACTAATGCTGCGTTCCAGTTGTACTTGGAAGTCAGACAGTGTCTAACAGCAGCTGACATTTGTAAACAACAGCTAACAACAGCCAACTATAGGCGTCCATCTCTACCTACCTCAGCAAATTATCTTGTACTTTTATACTTTTAAAAATTAATAATGATAAGTAACTTTTAATTGGTTTATTAGCGTGCACACACTTGCACTTAATGATATATTGAGTGTTTTTACTTTGCTAAAATATTTATTTTTGCTCCACTCCTCTGTGAGACAGCGTGTAAATCTTCATGCCATTAATACATTAAAGAGGTTGTTAAATTTCTGATGGCGGTATCCTCTTTAATCTTACTAACACCATAATTATTGTCGTGTCACAGTTTATTGATGTTCAAACACTGCATATAGCACCTTTTAAAATGCTGCTTTTCTCCGGCATCCCCACAGGGCTTAATAAGACGATACTTTCTCTTAATCATGATAAAAGTATTTTATTGTCTTCATGATGAGACTATATTACATCATAGGGTGCACCAGCTGTTAAGAGGCGTATACGTTTCATTAAACGTCCTCATATGCATTCAAAACCAACATTTTTTTCTTTGTGCATCACCACAAACACTCATTACAAGCCTTTAAATCTGCGCTTGTGTGTCTGCCTGCCCCAATAAGCCATTCCTCACACATAAACACACACTTGTAAACCTTGACTGATTGTCTTCTCCCTTTGTCTGCTTCTCTTGATGTCCCCAAAGGGCTTAATAAACCGCTATCTCGCCTTAATAGGTGCAATCACAAAAACAGCACACACTTTGATTATCTGTTTGATGGAAGCAGCATATGTTACATTAGAGCGTCACTGTTTTCCCAGCTGTTAGTGAAATAAAGTCATCTCATTACATTTTCGCATATGAATCCATAATGGGTATTTCATTTTCTTGGGATGATTGCTTTAAATTATCCTCAGATTCTGCACTTCTACCTGTTTTCTGTCTTGCTTCGCTTTCAGAATTTCTTTCAGCACGTCAAACCGAGTAGTTATCTATTTTTCTATTTTTTTTCGATGATAGGTCATATTTGAAAAGATTCTTTTGTGCCTCAAGAATACGACAGCAGACAGAGTGGAAAACTGAAAAGAAAGTGTGGGAGATCGCAAGTCTTCAAGGGTCATAGGCCAAATTTGACGAAAGCATCTGTACACCAGGAGCTGGAATTAACCATCAAGCCAAACTCCCCTCTCAATACCCAAACATGGTAACCAACTAATCCCATTTCCCCGTGTGTCGTCTTTTCTAACTTCAATGTTGGTTTCATTTACAACAATGATTTAACTGTCATGATTACACTGGTTTTAACTCTTGATGGCACCATGGAGTCGTTTTTTGAGAAGCAAGTTGAAAAAACTGAGCCGTTGAAGCAGATTTGAAAAAAGCATCCTACCCCCCACATGCGGCAGTAAACGCCAGCTCTGCTAGTGAGCGCCGTCTGCAGCTGCCTGGACAGCTACCGTGTTGACATTGCATTGACTAATAAGAGTTATTTATGTAACATGTGCCACGATAAAAGACGATAAAAATTACCTGTTCAACAAAAACTTTTCCGTCTGTTTTCAGGCCCAAATCCTGGCAGAGCTTTCTCCACCGCTCGAAGAATGACCTGATGTTTATTCGACTTAGATTCCTTGCTTGGTCACATTTCCGCTTTGACCCCGCCCCTTCTTCTTATGGCTTGTGTTTTCTTCCTACTTTTGGCGTTGGGGCAAGCAGAAGTGTTTCTGTCCTTCTCCATCACAGATCCTGTAGCTAAGCTGCTACGCTACTTTGAAGCTCTGAGGAGGGTCGGGAGAGTGGGAGGGGACGAGTCGGAACTACTGGAGAGGGGTGTGCCGAATACAGCGAGGTGATTGGATGGAGAGGCGGAGCAGGAGATTGACCAATAGGAGCTGTCCAGGATGGATGGCGCCCATTGGTCAGTGTTTTTGCAGCCCTGCACCTGCTGGGGTTAACGGATTTTTGTGGAGATCGCACTATAGGACCATGATCGCCATATAATCGGGATTCATAATAATGACCAATCTTTCCGATCGTCAACCATACCTTTAAGCTCTGCTCTCAGACTGCTCAGTGCCAGATTATTCCTGCTATAACAGTGGTATCTCAGCTCTACTAGCGTGTATTTGCAAGTTTTGAGACTTTTTCAGTGAATGTTCAGCCTTGTAATAACTCTGAAACTGAGGTAGTGGGCGCTGCTTCTCAAAAAAAAATACCTGGACACAGCCTCTTGAAGCTGTAGCATTTGCTATGGGTCTTGACCCTTTTACCTACCCCTATATGGCATGTACCTACTCAATAATGTACCTACACATCAAAACAATGCGGACCACAAGCCCTCTATCTGATCCACTTGGTGATGGACATTTCCAGTTCCTGTCATCCCCAGTCCTCTGCCTCAGCAGACAGACATAAACAAATCCTTCACCTCCAGTGACTGTCCTCTCTTCCTCTTTGCAATAATTGCTGCATGAATTGACACATCATTGCGGCATTTACGCTTGGATTCGGTCGCCATGGTTTCTTGCACACAAACAATGTACACGGGAAATGCACAGCAGAGATATGACGAGTACAGACATCGCACTGCCGACATGCATTAAGGCACAATGTTGAAGAGTGATGTGCACACTCCTACACACAAGTAGTGCTTACAGTAGCCACCACAGCTATGGCATAGATTTAATGCAAAAACATAAATAAGGCTTTACCTCCAAATGTTTGAGTAATTGTCCCAAAGAAGTGAAGAATTCAACTGTCTCCACACACCAAGCTTCTTTAAAATCATTCGCGCGAATGAATTACATGTTAAGTCAATGCAAAGATGCGATTAGACGCTCCTACTTCTGTGGCGGTGTGGATTGGACGGTAGCTGAATATGTCTCAACTTGAGCGGGTATTGCGTCACGATGCCTAATCAGCACAAAGGTTACCAGGTGACGCCTGAAAACGGACGGTTGTTCACTGGTATCTAAAATGGAGGACAAACTGATCTTGTCGGTGTGTGGGTGCCTCAAATTATATGATACCTTTTCTTTCAATAACCGGAATTAAAAGGAGCTCACCTGGAGGCAAGTGAGAAAGGAGATCGGATTACCTGGTAAATTCTTAAAAAACTTTGTCTATCACTTGATCGCGCCAGTTGAATTGGCAGGGAAATTACCGTTGACGTGCGTTCATTTTCTACCATATCAGTGACATTATGTTTTGAATAGACCCTCAAAGGGTTAATAAAATGTTTTTAGATTAAACATTTACTAGTTTTGATTAAAG